GTACCTGAAACATAATTTGCTCTATGCATATCCTGCTTGCTCTTTTTTAATCTTAAAAAAAAGACACACATAAAGTAAAACATCAACAATAATGACTCCCATCTACTTTATCATATGATCCTACTATGTTTAGGCGACTGGTTATTTTTTTAAATGATTTCTCCTTCTTTACCTAAATATGAAATCCTGTTATCATCAAGTAATGTAATCTATCAAGGCCCCAAGGCTATCTTGCCACATTTTACTCTGGCATAAAAATTTGATTCTCTCCCCATAAAGTCAAAAAGAAGGAGTTGGGTTGTATATATGTTTTCAAATTTAGTTCAGGGTCAAGTTATAATCATTGTGCTCAACTGGTAGTTTAGTAACAGAAGAAGGTAATACAGCGAATGATCCCTCAGTGGATTGCAGGAAATAATGAGCCTCCTTCCCACAATGAAAAGTTACTATTTTTGCCTCTCTGCTGTGACAGATCACAGTGTATGTGGTGCTTGGAGATAAATATTGTGGAGTCAGAAAGGCCTAGATTCTTATCTGGCATCTACCAACTTACCAGCTCTGTAACTTGGGCATTTTGTTTACCTTCCAAGTTTCAGTTTCCCATCAAGGGAACGTGATATCTGATATGTAATGACCATGTCTGCTCCCAAGCCCATAGGGCTGTCGGGAGGTTTAAACTAGATAATACAAATAAAATTATGAAAGGATGCCTGCATTACTGAGTGAACACTATAAAATGTCAGTTATTATCAATACTGTTGTTCTTATTCAGAGGCAATTAGGGGTGTAGTTAAGCAATGACTCGGCACTAGACTATCTGCAGTTAAGTCTCCCTTCTACTTACTGTCTGTGTGAACTTGAACAAGTGACATGTCTTCTCTGAGCCCCAGGGTCCTCATCTGTGGAATGGAGATGCATAGTATCTACTCCATATGGCTGTGAGGATTAAATGAGTCAACAGCATTGTGCAATGGGACTTTCTATGATTATGGAAATATTCTAAATCTGTGCTGTCCAATATGATAGCCACAAGCCACATGTAGTTCTTGAGTACTTGAAATGTGGCTAGTGCAACTAAGGAACTGAATTTTTAATTTAATTTAATTCAGTTATTTAAGTGTGAAGAGTCACATGTGGCTGGTGGCTACCATATTGGGCAGTGCAGACGTAGACCATTGCCTGACTATCTTAAACCGTTAGCATCGTCTGGTAAATGCCAACCTAGGNCTATCTTAAACCGTTAGCATCGTCCGGTAAATGCCAACCTAGGACCTGACCGCTGACAGCAGTGGTGGTGCCGGTGCCCCTGAGCATGGGTTACAATAAGCAACTGCTTCTCCCCTGCAGTGGCCACAGGCTGAGGAGGAAACATTCATCTCCCAGGGATACATGTGACACAGGATTGAAAGCACTGGGGGTGCAGGCTGCGAGGTGAACTCACGTGTCATGAATCCCATTGCCAGCTAAATGCATTCTCTCAAACCTTCCTTCAATCCCACTCCAGGTCTGGATATGGTTGTGTACATTGTAAAGCATATACTCCATGGAAGAGATCTTGTGATTTCCTACAAAGTAATTTCTTCCCCAAAGTTTGTGTGTACGTGTGTCAGTAACTATCTTGTTTACCAGAGAATCAGAATAGTTGCTCATTATGAAATAGCATAAGAAGACAGAGCTTGGTACGTCAATATGTTTAACTTGGAAATGCATATTTTGTCAATTTTCAAAACAGATATTTTAAATGGAAAATCGTAAAGAGTCAGGGCCATCACAGCCGGAAAACAAGTGCATGTCACCGAGCATGGCATGCGCTTTTTCCTTTCCCCTGGTCCGAGCAACAGCTACTCTGCTCTAGGTTAATACGCATAAAGTGCCTAGATCTAACCTCCTCTGGATCGCTAGAGGCTCCCTTTACTTAAGGTTATTTATGAGAGCAAGAAAATCAGAAACATGATTATGTTGATATGAAATTATTTTTACAGCGTTGAAGAAAAGCAGTGCAGATTCCCTAAAAACTAGATCTGAACAGACATTTTCACGCACAGTAGTCATTCACAGACGCCGTAGCATGGCACGCCGCTCCAACCAACACTGCATGGAAACGCTACGTGTGCGCTCCATCTTCCTCAACAGAATGGGGAAATATCTCCACTTCAATTACCAAGCAGAAAGCAGTGATGTTAAATGTTGGGCAGGCTTTTATATTTAGTTTAGTTTAAGGCTCATAATCATCTCAGTAATCAGTTGAAGGAAGTTTAAATTTGGGTCCAGGAGACAGATGTCAGAAAAGCAACACCGAGTCTTTGTGCACAAGAAACACTCTCCGGCCTGGGAGGGCCTCCTGCTTTGCCTCCCACCGCTCCCCAGCCGCCTCCCGCCCCAGCCTCCAGGAAAGCTGGGCAGTGTTCCTATACCCCTGCCAGCAGCTAATTATGGAGATTATCTCTGGAAGCGACCTGATTAGGCATAGCATAAAATTAGCTGAGAAGGCTTAATCTTCTAATCCTACTCAGATCTAAAACTTATCCATGGAGGCCCAAACACATGGGCCAACCTTTTAAATACCGAATTTCCCCCTCCGGCTGTCATCAGTGGCCTGGAAAGGTGCACCTGGCTTTCCACAGCCCCAGCCCTCCTGTGGAGCTCGCGTCCCAGGATGGAGATGACTCTCAGCCTGGAGCTCATACACCTCAGAGGGCCACGGGGAGATGGCTTGGGTCTGTCTATATGAATCCCCTAAAACTACATGCAATTATGCATGTCTCATATTTGTCACTGTGTATGTCAGTGTGGAGGAAGGGTCAGTAGCTATCATGAGATGTTTTAAGGGGCTTGTGCTCAGACTTGTAAAAGTCTGCAGAAGGCAGACAGCTCCAAAATATTTCCCCCCAAAATTAAAGCAATTAGACTTTTACTAGCAGTGTCTCTGGAACAGCCCAACTTTCTCGAATCTAGATAGATTTTATAAATGTTATCTTTAGTTTGTATTTTTTTTAATGCAAAAAATGTTCTGAAAAAAATTTTTTTCAACTTAGGAAAAATATTTTGGACATGTTTATAAAGTATGTGAAGTATTCTCATGATGCCCTTCTCTACCCCCAACATCTATGATAGAGCCAGGACGTCCGGGAAGGAAGGGGGACACNCCTTTCTCTACCCCCAACATCTATGATAGAGCCAGGACATCCTGGGAAGGAAGGGGGACACCTAGCCTGTCTGTCAAATGTTTTGTCTGCATCTGTGATTTTCAAATGGGGGCAGTTTTCTAGTTGGTCCTTAGACATCAACAGGGCAGCTTAAAGCCAATAAGCTCTACCATCTGAGATGCTGACGTAACTGATTGGGGTGGGCCTAGACCTCTGTAGTTAAAGTCCCCAGTGATTCTGTTGTGCGTGCCAGGCTGGGGACCACTGGCTAAAGTGCTGAACACACTGCCTGGCACACAAGCCATGCTCGGTGGGTGACGTCCTCTGTCATCACCATGAGACATCGTGCTCATGTCTGCTCCACCCCTGACTCCTGTGAGCTTACTCCCCACCCACCCCAGGACATGGCAATTTGAATGCAATAAACATGGGGAATCCTTTGCAATTTCCATTTTTCTTACAGATTTTAAAAATCCCATAGATGTTTAGTAACAAATTGTATCTTACAGAGGAAAGCCATACAGTTTACTCTTGACCATAGGCCTTCCGCCCTGGGTAATGTGCTTCCCTTTCATTAGGAAGGCTCATTTCCACATGATATTTTCCACTCTCGTAAAGAAATAAGGTATAATAATAACTGGGTTGTTATAGAGACAAGTCAAATAGCCATTAGATTCCTTTTTTAAGCAGTCGGCCTAATTTAACAACTATCTACTGGGCATTGGCTAGATATTGGAGTAGAAAGTCGGCTAGAATATAAGGTGAATAGAACCAACTACCCCGATCATTACCTCTTCAGAAAAGTGAAGCCATAGTGTATTAAGCTTTTCCACGTGCCGTGCGGTGTGCTCGCTGCTTTATATGCACTATCCCACCCTACCCCTTTATGGTGGGGAAGAACTTTTATTAGTATCCTGTTCCCACGTTACTCGGTGCATGTACAGACCCATCCATCTGGGATGCAAAGCCCCTAAGCAAACACACTAATGCTGTCGCCACCTGGCCACTCCCCAGCACATTGTGTTGGTGTCGGGAAAGCATATAGTTCCAGGTGTGTGGCACAGAGTAAACGCAGGGTAAAAACCACTACCGATAATAGCATTCTACACAGATCACCCTGTAGAAATGTCAGCCATTCAGAGCCAAGGAAACTGAGCCTCAGAAAGGCTGAGTCCCAAGGCCCCACTGCTAGGAAGTATTGAAGTTGGCATTGAACTCTGGTATCTCCTTCCAAACACCTGATCCTTCTGAGATTTGTTCTGGATAAACTCGCCCACAATTAGCCTCACCCCTCCTAGACTCAGATGTTGGAGCTGCAGATGAAGTCTCTTCTGACTATCTTAGTGTCCAGCTGCCTCAAGTTCAACACTGAGGACTCCTTCTTTGGACAAATTTCTTTACGGTGTTTCTAATAGTGAGAAGCACAGGCCCCTGGAGCATTTTTCCTCTTGAACCCAGGAATTCCCCAGGTCCTAGCAGGAAACTTGAGCTCAATCCAGAAGCAGGGTTCACCTGGCCACCCACCACCAAATCTGTTACTACACCAAATGCACTTCCACCTCCTGCTGACACGAAGCAGCAAGTAGGTAGGCAGGCAATTAACCTGAGCTCTAATTAGGGTGGTTTTTATAATGAGGAAAAGAGTGTGATTCTAATTAGTAATTTTCCATCTTTTTCTCAATAGGTATTCCCCAGTCAAAGCAATAAGCTATCCTCATCGCACTGGTTCCGTTGCCAAAAAATAATCCTACTGCAAAACAGAAGCAACAGTGAAGGTGGCAAAGGACCCGGGAGAGCAGAGGGAGGTTTTATGTGCTGCTAATGAGCTGCGTTCTCCCCCAACTCGTTCCTTAGGTCCGTGGCACCCAGATGGTTGGTTCTGACATGGTTGTGACAGTTGAGTTCACCAATCCTTTAAAAGAAACTCTGCAAAATGTTTGGATACGCCTGGATGGTCCTGGAGTGATAAAACCAATGAGGAAGATGTTCCGGTAGGTGCTGGAGGGTTGCGGGGAGGAGTTGTGGGGCTGTGGGAAGTTTTATCTTTCTGTGTCTTTTCCAAACTGACATCTAATTCCCAGTAAAATGTCTGAGGAGCCGCTGCTTCCTTATTGGCATTTCTGTGGGGCACGGAGTAAAAATAGTGTTGGTTTGATAGGCACTTACATCACTTAATCCCTAAAACCACCCAAATGAGGCGGGTGCTGTTATTATCTCCCTCAGTAGAGGAATTTGAGGCTTTGGCAGTTCACCTGATTTGCCCCGAGGTGCACTGTTTATAAGAGTAGCACCAAGATTCAGACTCAGGGTGGCTCATTCCAGAACCCAACTGTCAAGCATTTTGCCATACTAATTTCTCATGGATCAATTCCACTAATATTTATTGAGTGCCTACTATGTGTCCAATAGTATGCTATTCCTTAAGTGTTCCTTTTCTTGGATCCTTTCTCTAGAGCTATTGTTTTCAGTAGAATAAAGGGGAGTCTGAGGAATTCTAGACTGTCTCCCAGTCAGAGAACCAGTGACTACCCCAAGCTCTGTAATAATATAAATGGAAGTCGCCCTTATTCATACCAAGCACCATCAGATTGTGCCCTATAGTTCTCAGCTTCTGTGACTTCTACTGACAAACACTGTCACCCAACCAAACAGATCAGAATGGTCGGGTAGTGCTAATTGTTAGAAAACAATTGCACCTTTTGATCCTCCCAGGGACCCTAATTCTGTCATCTGGACCCACTCACAGAGTAAGGCCCACCTCTCTTCCATCTGATGGCCTGCAAATGTTTGCAAAGAGCTGTCACACCTTCCTTAGGTCTTCTCCCTACCTACCCTGACTTTATTCCTCTCACCTCCAATGTGGGTTTAACTCCCTCCCGCTCCCACATACTCCAATTTGTCAGCGTTCCTATTAGAGTGTGACACCCAGAATGGATCCCAATTTTCGAGGTTTATTACTTTCATTTCTACCACAAATAAGTCCCTGTCAGCATCAATCAATCTAGCAGATTTCCTGTGGGGTGACCTTCTAAGGTACAGAAAGGGAGATGGAGGGCTTTGGAAACTGCCCGATGACCAGATATGTTAGGAATTGTCCCAGTGTCCCTTATAGAAGCTACCTTGCTCTGTAATCTGTGGGGCAACTGCAAGGCCTCCTTCACCCCTTCTGGGGTGCCTTTAAAATCCCATTTGCCCACTAAGGGCTCCCTACGTTTCTCCTAAATTACAGTGCTCACAGCTTCTGCACCTCATGGTTTAAGAGATGCCTGATGCCGGTGGATGCAATAAACAGCAGAGAAAATAACTTGAGTGCATTAAAAACATGCAAGCATAGATCATAACAACCTTCCTGTGCTAATAGGGAAGTTGCAGGAGAAAACAAGAATTAAATTAGAAATCAACCCTAGCTAGAAGGAGAGGTCAGCAATAATAGTTCTGCTTTCATCAGAAACGATAGTCTCACTCATTCTCACGCCTTCCAATTTTAATTAGATGCAACAATTGCTCAGGCGAGTGAAACAGGTTTCTCCTTCAAAACAGCCCCCTGCTGTATTCAGCTTTTCCTTCGCAAACAGTAACCCCGCCAGCCTCATCTATGAGGGCGCCTTGGCACCTTTATTTCTGCTGCCTTTGTACCTTGGCTATGCCAAGAATCCCACCTTGATCAAAAGCTCGTGCATAAAAAGAAACGATCCAGGTGTTAGAAGAAAGATTAAGGCCCAGGCAGCACAGTGACCCGCTACTTGGGAGGTACAAGGCTCAAAATAAGTGCATCGTTTCTTGTTAATATCGGGCATCGGGCGGGCAAAGTGGAGTGAGTCAGGGAGAGGCCAGCGCCTACATGGACGCCAGGCAAATGGCCCGCCCATACTCTGCCTTCAGGGACTATTTCTAGTGACTTCAATATATTGGCCTACGGCAAGTAGGTAACAGACGAGCGCCAGGCCCTCAGTCTCTCACGGGAATTAAGATTCCAGGGGTGGATCTCTCCAAAGCCAGGAAGCTTTATTTCCCAGAGACTGTCAAAAATTGGAAACTATATATTATCTAGGGTAAGCGTGGGACTTTGCAGAGCACTGCTTTTTCCATTTCCTCCTGACTCCAGGACAAAGCCAAGACCTGAGCCACGGTGGCCACAGCCTTATTGCCAGTTAATGAGAAACACTCGGTGTGCCCTCCGCTGCCAAGACCCAGCCTAAGAGAGGCAGATCTACATGACAACTAGGACTCCTGGAAAGGGCGATTCTATAGAGCCAGAATCCTTCACAAGGCCCTGTTCATTTCTAGAGCACACAGCTTGAATAAGCAAGGGGGTCACCGCCCCGCTGTCCCCACACACGCCTGCCGGGGTCCGAGAAGGCAGGGAGCCCCTTGCTCAGAGCAGTGGGCCTGGGAGGTGGGAGCTGGTGGGCAGGGGATTGAACCAGGAACGAGGAAGGCAATGGGGGCCACGTCTCATTCCTCGGTCGGGGGACAAGCCAACTCCACTCCAAGAAGGTTTTCGTTCCCCTTGCTCCCTCCATCTCCTCCCACAGACTCAGCTTTCGAGCTTCTGCCCTTGGTATTTCCGGAACATAAAATAATTCATCTTCCAGATTCATTTTTCTCTTTTAAAAGTGATCAGGTTCAGGGAGCTATTTCAAAAAAAAAGTTCACTGACTTTGTGATTTGGGTTTAAATTTTGGGGTTTTCAAGTAGGACAGAAGCTGAGGGCTAGACCCATGGAAGACAAACCACGGAGGGCTGCAGTTTATTGTAATAATCATCCCACTTGCCTGCGTGTGTTCAAGATGATAAATGGCCAGCGTATCCCGATGGCTCAGCACATTACTGAGAGCCATTTATCACCACATCTATCCCCAAGCAAATGAGATTATTTCAGTATTACTCCACTTACCAAGACGGGCAAAGGATTTGTTTCTCTCTTTCTCTATCTATTTATCTGTGGGTAAATGCATATTTAGACATGCATGTGTTCCTTCATGTACTATCTTTGCGTGATGCTCATACATGATGAGTGTACAGGGTATACATGTGTGAGATACAGGTGTAAATACCATTATGTGGGTGAGTTGAAGAAGCAAAGCTCAGAGGCTACAGTTTCTGTCTGAGGTCGTTTCCTGCATGGCCTGGCTCCAGGCCAGATCCCTGAGCAAGGTGACTAATTTCACTGAGTGTTTCTGGTTGATCACTTGGGGAAACCAGAGAAGGGAAAATGAATGATTGGGGTAAAAATAACACAGTTATTGAGAAATAATTATCTCAAACTTATATTCCCATTGAATTAATCACTGCAAATTAAGGATAAAGAACTGTTTTCTACATACAGGCAGGAGGAACCTACTGTCCTAAATTGTTTTACAGAAGGTCCAGGCAGAGCAAACAGCAACCACAGAAGTGGCTAAAAATAACACCCCATCCTACCGCTGGGCACTTACCACGCCTTGCTGTAATTCTAAGCACAGGACAAATATAAACCCTGCACACCCTGTTCCATATCCCATAGTGTCTGCCTCTTACAGGTGAGGAAGCCCCTGCTGAGGTTGGTGATGTTTAAACCTTGAAGCAAAAAATCATTTTAGTGAGTTTGAAAACTACATATATAGGTTATGTGTGTGTTCTTTTCACATAGTTTGCCTTTATGTAACTGATATAAAGAATTTATATATGGGGTGGAGGGGTCAGTGAGGGAAAGGGGGGCATCTGTAATACTTTCAACAATAAACATACTTTTTTTTTTAAATAAAAAAATAATTTATCTAGTCACACTTATAAAGAATAAAAATTATGAAAAGTGTTAGCAAATACCAAATAAACTAAGACATTTTAGACTGTCAGTGTCAAAGTCAATGCTTAGAGCAGCCCCAAAGAGAGAGGGCCCAAGGCCTTGGATGCCTTTCTCACTTCACTGGCCACAGAGAGAAAGGGATTTCTTATTTAGTGTCTGGATTTCTAGGATTTGGGCTCCTTCCCCTTTTATCCCAGAGGATACACCCACAGCCAGTTGAAATATACATTGTTTTAGCAACATTTGAGGAAATCTTTGGGTTCCAACTTTACGTAGAATAGGTGAAGCACAGGTATGTGGCCCGTGTTTCTCCCTTCACCCTGGCTCTGTCTAAAGTGATGCGTGTGGCTCCAACCCCCAAGAGCACATGGGAGCTCATGCGGCTCAGGCCCGTGGACCACTCCAACCTCTCCTTCACAGTTCTTCCTTGCAACCCTTCCAGCCACCCTGAGTCCAAAGCTACAGTGTTACCCCCAGATCCTTTGGTCCCCCAGGTCCCTCCATGGTGCTAACGAAAATGCCCTCTTCCAGCCCCTGGCCTATCTATCCGGGGATCTATCCACAGAATCCCTCTACACAACACGTTTCTCATTTCTGAACACAAGCGTCCTCATTGTGTCCCCCAGTGTGTCTCTCTTTTTCCGTCGTCTGGACCATCGGACTCTGTGGCCATAGAAGCTGCCATATGTCCCTTTGGATCTCAGTTTCCTCATCTTCAGAATGAGACCCCTGAACTAAGTGCTTTCTAACTGCTTTCCAACCCCCACATGCTGTCCTCAGTACCCCTGAAAATAATCAGATCCCTTATCGCTCTTTTCGATTCATTTCCCTGGTGCTCTCCCCTCGAGGCACTGGCCCAGGGCCCCGTGCTAAGCCACCCAGCACCTGCCCTCCCTGAGTCAGAGAGCAAAGACCAGGAACCCTCCATGAACAACACTCGCAGGAAGCTCTTAGGACAGAATAGGTATCTGTCCTGCTTGAGAAATCAAGCATTGGAAAGGCAAGCAGCGTGATCAAAAGTCATCTTCTTATAGGACACAGTATGAAACACAGTGCGCAGTGGTAGCAAGAGCATGGACTTGGAAATCAGATAAACCTGAGTTCGAATCTTATCTCTGCCCATTAACAGCTCCGTAAGGGGGCTGGTAAGGACTAATCAGAGTGTCAGCATCTCGGCAAAGGCATCCAGGGGATTCAGACAGGAGCGGAGTCCCAGATGAGAAGTAGAGGGTCAAAAAACGAGCCAGGGCAGATGGTTAACGTTGATGAGGCTCCTGTGGAGGCTTGGGAACAAGTGAGAGCCCCGTGAACTCGTGGCTGGGAGGGCTCAGTCCAGCTCCACCATACACTTCATGGACCACACACACTGAGAGATACGATGATGCATCCAAGAGGAAAAACCACAACCAAAAGGGACTGTCACCGGCAGGCTCTGGCCGAGCCTCACTAGGGGCCTCCTCTGGGTTGTAGCTGGTGGACCCGGCCAGTCTTCTAGCTGAGAGCAGGGAGCGGGGCTCTCACTGCCCCTGGTCAGGTAGGAAGCTGGATCTGCCTGTGCGGGAAGTGAAGCGTTTCCTGTCTTTTCCCCTTTCAGCGACGTCCAGCCCGGCGCCACCGTGCAGTGGGAAGAAGTGTGCCGGCCTTGGGTCTCCGGCCCGCGGAAGCTCATCGCCAGCATGACCAGCGACTCCCTGCGACACGTGTATGGCGAGCTGGGTTTGCAGATTCAAAGACAGCCGTCTGCGTAAAGGCACCGGAGGCGGAGATGGGCCCAGGCACTTGGCCTCTTGGAGTCTTGGCTAAGGAAATGCTAATGCAAAAATAGTCTGCTCTTGCTTTAAGTCAAGATAGGCAGGATAGGTGGGGCGCCAGAGTGGGGATGCCGTGTGTTTCAAAGACACACTTTCCCAAACTCAGGCCATTCAGAGTGGAAGTTAGTTTTCAATCGCTCCACCTTCCAAAGGATTCTGAGGATTAGCTTTAATTAAGCCCTAATTAAGCTCTCATAGCTCATAAGAGTAAACGTCATCATTTATCATCGCAAATGGCTGCAGCTTCAAGTATCAGAGGCCTCCCTTAGCGAGGGGATTCGCTTAATGCCTGGCCTCGTATAAAACAAGCTTTCTGGTCCCCCACTCAGCCTCTTATAAGGCTAACATACTCTCCCAAATGGAGAGAAGCACATGATTTGGGCCCTAAATTCTATTCCCCTGTCTTAGAAGCAGGTTCTGCCTTCTGTGTCAGAATATCGTTCCCATGGATTGAGTACGGCCTCATTTGTCTTCTTGACAAAGCGAGGGAAAGGCCCTTCACCTGGCACCTGCAGCAGAGCAGCTGCCTGCCAAATTTCAAAGATTCGCCTTGTGAGAAGACGTGGCCCCATATTAACAAATTGCATTTGTGAGAAGCTTAATCACCTAAGAGGAGCTAAGAAAGCAGATGCAATACTCGGCTCTATTAAATAATGTAGTTTTATGGTGCATTTTATAGGAGGTGTCACACCGCGGTCTGATCAGCAGGAATCACTAGCCCTCACTTTAACCCTTCCTGGGCTGCGGTACAGGTGGATCTCAGAGGCTGCAGGTTGGTTGCAGACCACCACAGTAAAGCCAGCATCCTAATGAAGCGAGTGTAACCTTTTTGCTGGTGAAGGGCCTTGCCTTCAGTTTGTAAAAAATGCAAGGATGCCTGTCCTAGAGAGTAATGAGCCTGGCTTGGGACAGGAGGAACGAAGATTCAGTCTCTTTAATTAGGGATTATATTTCACCTGTCTCTCTGGGATCATCTTTGCATAATAGTGCAGCCCAGGTACATTTTTAGAGATAGAGTAAGCCCAGCAATTCAGAGACACTGGCAGATTTAGTGCCCAAACATGCAGAAGGATGGGCAGCCACTCGTCTCTTGTCCTTCACACCAGCCATGCTGAGGCCTCAGCTCAGCGCCCAGGAGCTGAGAGGTCAGGCGGACGCACCTTGCAAACAGCCAGTAGTACTGCAGACCCCGGGCAGGATGCTGACATCATTTGTTTTGTGCTCCAAGGTATTCATCTGCAAAGTTGATTTATGGTCAGAATTACCCACCGACATGCCAGGGTATGATTTAGGTCAGTAGATTGTGATTCTTAACAAACAAAAACAGAGCAGGAAGAAACCTGGAGAAGCCAGAATGGAATTCTTGGCTTATGTAACCACATTTCTAAGCCTTTGAGACTGTTCCTGAGCCTGTAGCACCAGGAATCCATGAGGGTAGCTGGTCCCCTATAGGAACATCATACTAACTTTATTAACAAATTTCCCAGCATTTGCCAAGCCTTCCAATATCCAATTTTAAAGTTGAATGCATTTTGTTAGGCTGTTAAACTGGCTTAATGTAGTATATTCTTATTAACTAGAATGTAATCAAGGCTTAAAATAAAGTTAATCTGATCATATTTGCATCTGCACGGAAGTGAACGCTTTGAATTTTCAATACAACATCCTACTGCTCACAACTCATCCGTAAATCACCCGTCTTTAGCAGTAGATAATCCCTCTGGACAGGAAGACAAGCATTCCTGCCTTCAAAAGCACAGCCTCTAATTGGCATTGATGGCACATCTAGCTTTCCTTGCTGCTCTCTCTGCTTGAGCCACTTTCACTGGAAGAGGGAATTTACATATTTAGTTCAAAAACCAGCTTCCAGAAACTTCCTCATGAATGACCACATTAATCATTAGGGTGAATCAGTGGACAAGCCAGCATGAATACCTATCTTAATGAATACCTATCATAATGAACACCTTTTGTGGTCTTAAAGCAGAGACAGAAAATACATGGCAAATATGCACAGGAGAGCCTACATTCATGGCAGACGCCACTAAACAACTGCAGCCCCTATAGGCCTCAGAGTCCTTCTCAACACAGTTCTCCAGGAAGCTATTACCAACTAATGTGGGGCTGGCCCACAAAACCTGTTTGCTCTGTCTGCCTTAGAGTCACCCCAACTCTTGATCGCTGGGATTCTACACCGTGCAATAGCACTGTGGCTCCACAAATTGTAGTTTAGCAACACTAAGCAGTGTATCTCAGATAACAGCAGAGATTCTGAATTCTAGTTTCTGCCTGTGCTAGTCCTCTGTGCCTTTGGACAAATCCTTATTTGTGTTTATAGCTTCAATGGCTAAAGAGGGGTAACAATACTTCCATTTCTACAAGGTTCTTCTGGGGGATATATCAAGCAAACCTTAACAACACATGCAAAACGATAGAGATGGATGATAGATACATAGATACATACATGATAGACAGATGACAAATAATATTGTATGAATATATATGTGGGTGTGTTTTTTCAAATAATTTTACTTCATCTACCTGTAAAAGGAGTAAATATAATTATTTCCAAACTTTAAAAGGTCTAAGAAGCCAGGTGTCATGGCAAATTAAGCTGGGGTGGGAGTCAGCAGTGAAATCAACCTCTGGTTTTCTGTAACTCTTTAAATCCTTTGTCTCCCCAGAGTTTTAAGAATGCTGATTTAAAACCAACTTCAAGGCTCTTTGAAGAGCTGCAGTATAACAAATATATGCATAAATTTATAATAGTAATGTGCAGGGAGATAGTTAGTGCTAGACTCATTAGCAATTAAAAGTCACAGAAGTCTAGGTGTAAGCTTATTTATGAACACCCATCCAATATTATTACAAAGATAAAAAGTAGTCAACCAACCCAACCACCCATTTATTCACCTTTTCTACCATTCAGCCATCCTCCCACAATTCAGCCAGCCAGCTGGCCAGCCTTCCAACACCTATCCATTCTTTATTCCAACCATCCATCTAACCCCCCGACCTTTCATTAATAAGTGCTTGCAAGCATGAATTCAAAAATGATTTATTGAATATTAGGCATCATACTAGAGCTTGGAGATTCAAAAGTAGAAAACCCACGGTCCCCACCCAGAAAGAGTTCACAAGCCAGAGGGGGAGCCAGATATATCAAGTACAAAGGGATAGATATGTTAGTAAAAGTATGTCCAGAGTATCATGGAAATAAACAGAAGATGCATGAGAAAGTGCCCCCAAAATCTGCAGGAATAATGGGAAAAGATTTAAATAGACTCTTGAACAAAAGAACAAGCGGTAAAAAAGAAGTTGGAGATCATGTGACAGAGAAGGGCTCATGCGACAGCCTGGAAGAGAGAAAGGGCCTGGCCTTTGAGAGAACTGCGTTAGCTGCGCGGGGCGGAAGGTGAGGAGCCAGCAAGGGGAGCCCCGCTTCCCACACTCGCCATGATGCGTGAGGCGATCACGAGAAGGAGTCGCAGGGATTCTCAGCCACGGAAATGCGGGCCCGGCTCAGAGCTGGAGCACTCCCAGGAATGAGTTTGTCCTTCTCGGCCATGCCGTGGAGGGGGCTCGTAGAGGCCGCTAATATCACACTGGGTGCAGGACTAAGAACTAGGTGGCCAAGGCCAAGAGAGTGTGGGGTAGGGAGCCTAACCCAGGGCGGTGAGAAAGGCGCGAGATGGGGTGTGGCTGCAAGCGGGTTCAAAAACGGGGAGTGACATGTAGACAAAGCGGGAAGGGCAGCATGTGGAAGGGAGCCGTCCGTTCCNAGGCCAAGAGAGTGTGGGGTAGGGAGCCTAACCCAGGGCGGTGAGAAAGGCGCGAGATGGGGTGTGGCTGCAAGCGGGTTCAAAAACGGGGAGTGACATGTAGACAAAGCGGGAAGGGCAGCATGTGGAAGGGAGCCGTCCGTTCCAAAACCTGATGCAAGCCCGGCCGGCATGGCTCAGCCGCTGAGCATCGACCTAGGATCCAGGCGATCGGGGTTCGATTCCCGGGCAGGGCACATGCCCAGGTTGCGGGCTCGATCCCCAGTCAGGGGCGTGCAGGAGGCAGCCTGTCAATGACTCATCACTGCTGCTTCTCTCTCTCCCTCTCCCTTCCTCTCTCTGAAATCAATAAAGATATATTTAAAAAAAAAAAAACAAAAAAAAACTGATACAAGTGTGTGACAGATAAGTTCCCACAGGCTAAAATTTGGGCAGCCATTTAGATATGACAATTACCATGGGCAGGGAATGCTAAACCCAGGATCTTGTTCCTAGGGCCNTCTCTCTGAAATCAATAAAGATATATTTTTAAAAAAACAAAAAAAAAAACTGATACAAGTGTGTGACAGATAAGTTCCCAGAGGCTAAAATTTGGGAAGCCATTTAGATATGACAATTACTATGGGCAGGGAATGCTAAACCCAGGATCTTGTTCCTAGGGCTGTGCTCACTTCTGTCTTAAAAGCAAAGCTCCCCAACTAGTACCCAAGAAATCCAACTGCTTCTAGAGACACTTCTTTCCAACTTGGGACAGGACTTACCTGCTGTTCTCAGCACCTCAACACATTTAGACTGTTTTACTTTCATAGACTCTATGAAAAAATGAAAACAAGACAATAACAATGACATCTCTTGAGTATGTCTGTCAGAAATTACTCTTTAAAAACAAACACATAACTAAGTGAGAAGGGGAGGGGGGGACCTGAGTTGCAGCAGGTAAACTTACTAGGAAATTGCTNATGAAAAAATGAAAACAAGACAATAACAATGACATCTCTTGAGTATGTCTGTCAGAAATTACTCTTTAAAAACAAACACATAACTAAGTGAGAAGGGGAAGGGGGGGACACCTAGTTGCAGCAGGTAAACTTACTAGGAAATTGCTCTCACCTCAGTTGTGCTCACCTCAATGGCCAGGAGCTACAGTGAGCACTGCTAACTCCATAGACAATGGACTTCCATGAAAAGATGCTTGGTAAGCTTACTGCTGATACAATTCCTGAACTCCCATTAATTTTCACATTAATTAATCATTGTTCTAGGACTGAAGTAATTATCTAAGCAATATTTCACCGTCTCTGAAATTAATCAAACATAAGGGTTCCTCATGAGTATTTCCACTAGTAAAAGCAAGTGCCTATAACATAGAAAGTGTTCTTTCTCTTCTTTCTGGTTGAGCAAGTTTAGACAGCGGGCAAATACAGCCTGAAAAACAGTTACAATCAGACTTAGAATTTATCTTAAAGTGATAGACTATCATCCTGGCCAGTGACCCCATTGATTGGAGTGTCATCCAGTACATCCAAGTGGGTCAGATTCCCGTCAGATACCCAGGTTGAGGGTTTGATCCCCAGTAGGCGTGTGTACAGGAGGCAACCAGTCTATGTTTCTCTCTCATATGGATGTTTTTCTGTCTCTCTCTTTCCCTCTCCCTTCCTCTCTCTCTAAATCAATAAGAACATTCCCTCAGGTGAGGACTTTTTTAAAAATGCATGCAGAAGATTTTTAAAATGTCATATCAATAATATCAATAACCATCAAACATCGTTACTCCTCTCATTGAGAGGTGGGATGCGGCTTCCTTCCCCTCCCCTGGATTCTAGGTGGCCCTGTGAGAGCATTGACTGATGGACTGTGGTAGAAACAACGCTATCCATTCTCAGCCCAGGCTTTGGGAAACTGGAAGCTTTCACTTCTTGTTTCTTGAAATCCTCTCCAAAGAAGCCTTGATCTTCCATGTAAAAGCTCAACTACTTTGGCAAAGGCCATACTGGAGAATCTACATGTAGATGTTCTTGTCAACCATTCTCGTGGAGTTCAGCCTTCCAGCTACTCCCGCCAAGGTACCAAACATGACAATGCATCCATACTGGGCCCTCTAGACCAATCCATCCACAGCTGAACACCATCAAGTGACCTCAGCCAATGCCATTTAGAGCCCAAGGCTCATCCTGCCAAGCCTTGCCCAGATTCTTGACCAACCAAATTATGAGATATGTAAAAAGGTTATTGTTTTAAGCCACCAGGGTTGAGGTCATCTGTAATGCAGTAAGACATAACCAGAGCACTTACCCCAACAATCTCAGAAAGAAGAACAATTTACTGATTAATACTACTCTTGCTTTAAGGAAATACTCAGTGTTATGATCATCATTTTTTCCTTCTGAAAAATATATAGTTTGTTGTTACTCAACAACCCTCATAGGTTTAAAGAGACTAACACTTGTACTCCCAAGTCTAATTTAAGTATCGCCAGTACCTTTAACTCTTCCTTTGAAACTATGGTTTTCTGGACACTTCATCACCCTCATCTCCATCCAGATTTGGTTAGATGCTTTGAGGAAAACTTGAAGTTGAAAGAGAGGGCACAATGGTGAAGGGTGACATTGATCTTTCACAAAGACTTAGGAAGCAGGGCCATTCCATTGAGAATCTCAGAGATGTCAGATCCTCTAGCACCCATGCAAACCTGGTTTCCCCATAAGCTGAAATACTAAAAAAAAAACCAGTCTGGTCATGAACCTATATTCCATTTTTTTCTCCCTGAAAATTTAAAAATGCTTTCACTTGCACAAAGGTCTACACTGACTTAGCTCTATGTGAGACACCGTAGGACA